AACTAAGAAAACGTGCAGATGACGTACCTCTTTAATTGTATTTGGTATTTTCTAGATGCACACAAAACTACTTTCTCAGCAAGTAAAGGTCATCTTGCATTTTCTGAAATACAACACACACCTGTGTAATAGTCGGTTGGAGCTGCGATAACAAAATACCATAGACTGGGTGACCTCAGCAGCATTTCTTTCTCACTGTTCTGGAGGTTGTGAGTCCAAAATCAAGGCACTGTCAGGTTTGGTTCCTGTTCCAGGCTTGCAGATGGCAGCCTTCTCTCTGTGGTGGAGAGGGAGCTCACAGGTGCTTTGGTCTCACTTTCTCACCTCCTGAGGACACTAATCCTCCGAAGGAACTACACCCACATGACTCATCCAAACCTAATCACCTCCTAAAGGCCTCCCCTCTAAATACTACCACACTAGAGACCAGGGTTTCCACATAGGAATTTTGGGTTGTGTGTGTGTGTGTGTGTGCTGGGGGAGGGGGGGTAATCAATTTTACCAGTTATACATCCTAGCTATTAAATATGTTCAGAGCCATTCTACATATATTCCTCTTAATTATTTCAGGTCAAAATAACAAACAGATCTACCATGTATGTAAAATAACACCAGTAAGAGACTGGTCATTTAAGGCCAAGGTCTTGACTATCCCCAGTTACGCCTGCTGAAAGGATAAAAGGGGAAAATTCAGTTACAAGGACACCAATTACTGTCACCCAGAGCACTATTTAATAAATCTCCACCAACCAGGCAACCACTTGCCACTACTATAAAAACAACTCCCTCTTTCATCTCTAGCTCCAGACCTCTCTTCCTGCTTGTGTCTCCAGCTCTCTGCTGGGCATCTCCCCATGGAAGGCTCACAGTTCAGTATGGGGTTCAGTTGAGCTCATTAGTCCTCACTGTCTCCTCAGACTGAGGGTCCACAGCTGCTTACCTCAGCGAATGGTCAGTCTCACTAAGTGCCCACACCTAAAAGATGACCAAGGAAGGGTGACCCGTCTCTCCTGGCCTCCTCCCTCCTTTCCCATTCTCCTTCTCCAAATCCCTCATGGATTCCTGCACTAGCCTCCTAACTCATCTTCGGTCCCCATTCTGGTCTCCTTGTCACCCAGCCCACCTCACAGCCACCAAGTTCTTCTAAAGCACAATAAAACAAGTCAATTACCCGCTGCAAATTCTCCACCGTTCAACCAGCTTTGGAGATGAGGTTCAGATTCCTCAGCTCTGCACTCAACCCCAGTACCCTCAGGGTCTTCCCCATACAACCTTGCCTCCAGTCCACACAACTGCTATCAGAGCCCTGACTATCTCACACCTTTGCAAGCCTCCTAGACCCCAAACATCCAATTATTATTGCATCATGTATTACACTCAGCCAAAAGGCCGAGAAGCGATCATTGCATCATGTACTAATGTTATTTTAAAAGTGATGAAAAAAAGAAAACCTGGAAGGTGCGTAAGGAACCAAGTATCCACTTTTCTTTATTCCTTCATTCATGCCTTACACAGCGAGAGAGCAGGAGAGAGCAAGAGAAGTTTTTTAAGTGCCACACCAGATTCTTCCCTGGACACATCTGGGTTTTATGAGCTGATGATGAAAACTGACCTGTGTAATTCCTTCTTTGCCTCCCTAAGGCTGAGAAATCTCACCTCTGAGAAAAAAGTATTTGTTTTCATGGCATGTGGCTGTTGGTTCTACTCACCCACCATTCAAACCGGACACAGACTTTTATAAATCAGTTCTCCCTTATTCCTACAGAGAATCCACAGGACTGGCTGCCCCTATCACTGCTATCCACAGACCAATCACTCCCTCTGAGCAGGCGGGCTTGTGGGAGGGAAGCACACCCAGCCAGCTCTCTTCTCTCCTAGCACAGGCTTTTCTAAATAAATTTAAAAAAAAAAAAAAAAGGGAAAGGAAAGAAAGAAAGAAAAAAGGAGTTTCCTGGGTTTATGGAAGTCCTGTGCACACAGAGTTTGCTTCCCCAACTAGAATGTGTACTCTATGAGAGACAAGGCCTCCTCTTGGTTCTTGCGGTGTTACCAGAGGCCAGAACAGAGACCGCCCCATGGAACAGGCTTCATAAGTATTTGCTGAATGACAGGATAAAAGAATGGATGAATAAGCAAAGAGGCAGTCCTCCTCAATTAGAAGAGTGAAACGTAGCTCATTCCCCTGCTCAAGAAAGTGTTTTGCTAAGAATGCCTTTTGTTCACTTTGTGTTAGTTACAACCTTAATAAAAACTGGGCAGTGTATCATTAACCCCAAAGAGGACTTTAAAATTGCTTTTTGGAAAAAATTCTAGAAATTAGATAATTACTTACTGCTTGTAGCTTTCCAAGAGCAGTAAGCATTGAGTAAAATGTTGCTTTTAGGATTCCCCAAGAAGTATGCACTTTTGTCCATCACTAAGGTTTTCTTCCCCACCTCAAATAAAATTTGCATATTTACTTTCATGGGACTGGAAACCTGAGAACCTGCCACACAGGGCCAGTGAGGCCTGAAATTGCAACCCATCTGTGCTCTTGCCCTCGGAGCCACATGGAACTTCTACCACACACTCCCTAGGACTGGAGTCCCAGAGAAGGCTGACCAGAATGGGCCAAAAGGATGCAGCGTGTATATTCTAGAAAGATCAAGTGTTTTTGTCTGTGGGCTGCCAGAGGGCAGGGGGTCAGCCTCAACTCAGGGTCTGCCTTAAGCAACCACAGCTCACTTTCAGGAATACATTCCGACGCTTTGCATGGCACTGCTTTTTCCAGGGCATCTGAAATAGTTGACAACCAACATTAACATTTTCTGAGCACTCAGCACAAGACATCACCCCAAGCTCTATACAAAAGTAATCCTGGTTAATCTTCAAGATTAGTCTTCGACTTGAACTCTTATTACCACCAATTTATAGATACAGAAACCGAGGCTGAGAGAAATTAAATAACTTGTCCAAAGTTCAGATAGTAAGTAGGATCTCTGGGAAATCAACAGTGCCAATCTGGGTCTCTTACATTTTCGCCTATTTTGTCAATTCTTTGCAATAAAGAAGTTGAGAAGCTGTACAAAATGTTCATTAAAAAGGACTATGTACTTTTCCATACATTGTTTTTCTGTCTTCCACTATGGAATTTTCCTTCCTGCCCTGTCCCCTATATGCAGTGAAATCTCTTTAATTCACGAGTCCACACATCTTTGCAGGCAGGTGCCATCAATTCTGAGCCCATCTACATTGATGAACAGTATACATTCCTTTTTCCAGAAGGCACTGCTTTGCTCTCATCTACAAAGATCCTTTTTCCTTCCTAAAGACAAATGACTAGTTCATGTACCATGATTCAAATTACATGAGAATGTTCATTTGCAGAGTAATTATTCTTCGAAATTGGACTGCTCCAAAGACAAATGATTCTCCCTCCCCGCCCCTATCATCCCCTGCAACATACCATGTCTTCCCACTGGCCTAAAATGTTTGCTGCACCCTTTGCAAACCACAACCAGCCACACTACCTGCTCTATGTGTGACCACTTAGAAAAAATATTATCATACGGTAATAGTGGTCTTACTTCAAATCCCTCAAATATTTCATCAGCATCAGATTTCTGACATAGATTAATAACGAACCTGTCACCGTAGGATAGCAAAAAGAAATGAGAGTCTTGGATTTTATTTCTTTCCTCTACTTTAAAACATTTTATCTTCCCACTAGCGTGTGTTCCCTATCTCTTCAATTTGAAAAGAAGTCGGCTTTTAAAAAGACCAGGAGCAAAGAATCAGAAACACCCAGGAAAGGGCAACGCCAAAGAAATCAGCACCCATCCTCGCTTGAACCTGCTGGGGGTGGAGCTCTCAAGCGAGTGAGTATAGGAAAAGGAACGCGCCCACGATAAACGGTCCTTCGAACTCATTACTAAGGTTTAACTCTCTGGGAGGAGACTCTAACCGCTCCCCTCCCCCCTCCTACTCATCCCTCTCCCCCTTGTGGCTCAAAAACACACTGGTCTACACGGGCTACTTTGCGATTGCAAACAGAAGTTGTAGTTTTACATGTGGGTCACTGATGGCAACCTACAACTACGCACACAACCACAGGGAGAAAACGGGAAATACAGGAAATGGCCCGAGGTGGGGTTTGGAGGGTGGTGAAGATGGGGGTGGGCGATGAGACTTGGTCTTTACTCTCATTTACTCGCACTGAAACAGCTGAAGGACTCTCCTGAAACTCAGGACCCTTCTAGATTAAGAGAAAAGTTAAACGGAATGAAGGAAAATCCTTTTGCTTTTTTCAATTTAAAGAACACTAGACCGCTGAATGGACGGGGGGAAAAACGGGATGAGGGGAACTTTGTGCCTAAAAACATCCAGAAACACACAGAGAGTCTTCCCCAGCCCTTGACGCCATCCCATGGGCTCAACCATCCATCCCAGATGTGGTCTTCCCCGCTCCACGCCCACCTCCTCCAGCCCGCACCCCAAATTACTGTGCTGCCCACAAAAATGCAGCCCAGATTTGAAAAGCAGCTGACGTCTGTGGCCGGCGTGACCCAACGCCACACACCAAGCCCCACGGGGGCGACCATCGCGAGGCTCCCGAGGCGCTGTACCAAGCGCGCGGAGCTCGGCGCCCGGCTGCGCCCAAATCCGCGCGCCGCGGTGCCCGCGGGAACCGCCGGTCGGAGCCCGCCAGTGGCGGCGGGAGAGCTAGGCTCGCGCCGGCTTCCCGACGAATTGCCGTTCCAGGAACAATTTTTCCATTTCTGCTGCCGGCGGCCGCTCCCTTCCATGGCCAGCATCCGATACCCGTCCCGGTCCCGGCGACTGTCCTCTTCCCTCCCCGTGGGCTCCGGGGGCGCGGGAACCAAGTTCCCGCTCCAGCCGCCGCGCACGCAGCCCGGGCTCAGCGGTCCGCGACGGTCCCGCCGGCGCCGCCCGCCCCACCTGGCCGGGGCTGCGGGCTCTCCCTCCCGCAGCGCGCAGGGGGCCCGGCGACTCCAACTCACCCGGCCCCGGCTCCGCGTCTCTGGCTCCGAGCTCGCAGCCTTCCCCACGCCGGGGCTTTCCGTTACGCCTCCCCGCAGCTAGCCGCTCAGGCGAGGAGGAGGAGGCGGCGGCGAGAGGAGGGGGCGAGGGAGGGGAGAGGAGAGGGTCCCCAGCTGGGGGAGGAGACGAGGCGAGAGCGCCGACCTCGGCGGCCGCCGGCGGGACTATCAAGGAAGGAGGAAAGAGAGGGGCGGGAGCAGAGAGAGAAAGAAGCCGCGGTGCCTCCCTGCCCAGCACCCGGCCGCGAGCCGCTGCCCAGTCACCATCGCCGCCCCCGTCCCGCTCTCGGGCCGGGCGTTCAGGGGGAGGGGTCGGAGCCGGGGCTCTCCCGGCGCCTCGCGCGGGGCGGGGCGGGGCGGCTGGGGGCGAGGCGGGGGCGGTGGCGGGACAACGAGGCCCGGCCTCCGGAGGGGAGTGTCCTGCGGGGCCCGCGAGGCTGTTGGCGAAAGGGGATCCCCGGGAGGAGGGGCGGAGGCCCGGGGGCCTGGGAGCGGGTCACTGCACCCGCCCGGCGGCGGCGCCTCCTGGAATCCTACGGAGAGCCCCCCCCCCGGCCCGCTCCGGGGAACCTTGGGGGGCAGTTTCGGGCAACTCAGGAGCGCTCAGAATGCACACGGCCCAGGCAGTGAGCGGCGAAGTCGGAGTCGGGGATGATAGGCCGGACTCCTTCCGCGGAGCGCGGGCCCTGGAGCTCCCGAAGCAGCTCCCCAGGCCCGGGCCAGAACGGGAAAACGGCCGTCCCGCCAGCCCCCGGAATCCTAAGCTGGAGGGTGGGTTTGGGGACTGCCGGATTCCCATCCTCACCTTCTTCTCCCGGAGAGGAGGGCTCCAGGCATAAGTTTTTTGCCCTGTGATTCTTTAGGTGAGGAAACTGCAAGCAGTCACAAATATTCGTAAATAGATTAGTTAGGGTTTTGAACCATCCTCTTCTGTCAAAATACAGTCTAAGGATGAATTCCTAAGGCACTTTAGCCGACACTCTGAAAAGGCATATCCTTCTTATCTTTTTTTTTTTTTTTCTTGTCAGACCTGCCCAGCTTCTCTGTCTCATGTCTGGGAAAACTTTTTCCACTGGTTGCTTGAACACAGACCCTACGGTTCAATTCCCCAGCTTCTTCCATTGCCATAGCCAGTCTTACTAATTATTCATTTTAAGGTCTTCCCAGTTGTCCCGTCCTTTCCAAGTCCAATGCCACATTCCGGATTCTGTCCTTTCCAAGTCCAATGCCACCTTCCGGATTTTCGCTGTTTGGGTACCTAATGGTTCCAGTGCTTTCTCCCCCATTCCTTGCACGGGGGTCCATCTGCACTTGCCTACTGGGTAATGATTCTAGAACAAGGCTCAGGCAGGCCACTTCCTGTTCTAAAAGCTCTGGGAGGCACTTTACCACAGAAAATTCTGAATTTAAAACTCTTCTGTTCAAAACCACCCACTTACCCACTCCTCAGAGCCTGGCTTGCCAGCCGAGACTCCTCCCCTCCTCCCAGAAGGTTCCATCCTGTATCCACTCGGGAGTTGATGATGCTCTCGCCAGAATTGGAATGCTCTCTTTTATCTTCTCCCACAGCCAAATCCTACTTATCTTCATTGAAAAGAAGTTTGTAGTACAACATTTCTTCTATAAAAGGATGTATGTGTTTTTCCCATTTTGTGAAATCATACACTAGAAATAACAAGGCTTGTGGGGAAAATAGGCTTAGCAACAAAATATTCCAAATCTTTTTTTAAAGATTTATTTATTTTAGAGAGTGTGTGTGCATGTGCACTAGTAGGGGATAGGGCAGAGGAGGAGAATCTCAAGCAGACTCCCCGCTGATCTTGGAGCCAGACCTGGGGCTCAGCGTCACCATCCTGAGATCATGACCTCACCCAAAACCATCACTCACACCCTCAACCCACTGAGCCACCCAGGTGCCCCCAAACAACTCCAAATCTATGTAACATTGCAACTAGAACACTAACAAAAACAGTAACCATTCCAAAAACCATACTAGCAGAGTTTATGAGCCATGCTAAATTCCTAATATTACGGTAAATATAAATATAGGACTTTTACCTTAAAAAAAAAAAAAGATGGCAGTCACTGATGAAGGGACTGGAAGGAGAGTTGTTGGATGGAGGCTGTTGGATTTGGAAGATAAGCACAAAATGTACAAGTATAAGAGGTGAATTCCCCCCTCACAATAAACCCTTCCAAGTTAGAACTCATGGCCAGCTGACTCCAAGAGAAAGAACATGGGGTGGATGGGCGTGAGCACAGCACTGTGTATCCACGAGCAGCGGTCTGCTGTGTTTTGCTTGGAACTGCCAATACTTGTGGATGCAAAATACTAATGTGCCAGGAACAATTGCTTGTGAACCAATACAACCGTCCCATTTTATGAATATCCTTTCCCTATATATCAATGAGTTCATTTGTGTTACCTATATTCTCATTACAGAAACAGGCCTTTAATAGAATAGACTGTACTTTTTTTTAAAATTTATTTATTTATTAGAAAGAGACACTGGGAGAGAGGGAACACAAGCAGGGGGAGTGGGAGAGGGAGAAGCAGCCTTCCCGCCTAGCAGGAAGCCATGGAGGGCTCAAATGGGGGACTCGATCCCAGGACTCGGGGATCACGACCCGAGCTGAGAGGAGACGAGAGCAGATGCTTAAGGATTGAGCCTCCCAGGTGCCCCAGAATAGACTGTACTTAATTCTGCGCTTAGGAAGTAGGCTGTACTTCATTGCATACATGGGTAGAGCACTTACTGTATATGCCAGGAACTCTTTCGGGCACTGTGGATGCATCAGTGAACAAAAAGAAACACAAAAATGTCCATCCTCAGGGACTGTAGGTACCTGAACATGGTCTCACAGGGCGGTATTGCATATTTCATATGGATGTAATTTACATTAGTGCCTCATCTAATACCTTAGGTTGGTGTGTCTTTCAGAATGTCTGAGAAGGTAAATACCTACTGGGACATGTAAATTAGTCAGTTTACACCCATTTTATGCCTTGTGTTACTGAGGTAACAGGAAAATCTAAAACTCAGGTTTCCTCAGAACTGTTTGATACTATTTGGGCTTAAATTAACTCAAGTTCCCCAGATAGGATCATTCAGAGCTGAAGAGTAGAAAAATTACACTTGACAGGAAGCAAAAAATTCAGGATGGGCAGGGAGAATAGAGAAGGAGAGAGATGCTAAAAGGTATAGTTCAAGAAGAAAGTACTTTTAAGCTTTCTGGAAATGTAGCTAGAGCAAGAAGGATAATAACAGGAACTTTGGGATACTGTGAATGCTGCTTCTTTCATGTGTTTCAGCCAAATGTTCAAGAAACACTTAATGGGGGATGAGTGAGGATGAAATTATAAGAAATTAAAGGGTACCTGAGGAGTTTGGTCAAATGACAAGGAGGTCTTGGAAGAAAATAATTATGAGCCACTAGATAGGTCACAAGGTAAAATTACAGTGGTGCCTGGCTACAATGAGATTCTGAATTTACTTGCCTGTACAAATCACTCATTTCTCTGAACATTATACTCCACCTAGTATAACTTGCATCAACAGGGCTAGATATTTTTCAGGTGCAAACGCTTTGTATCCTGTTCTGAATGTGAATCTGCTTGGAATGCAAGTAAAATATGCATTTACAACAGACATATTTGATATATTTTTGTGACTGTCAGCATACTGGATATAGATTAACTTTGAATTTGCCTATTCATCTTCATAAAAACTACCCTCTCAAATCCACTCCTCCTCTCCCCCTTCTTAGAGATTGATATTTCCTAAACTGTGATCATAGAATTCCAGGGCTAGACACACATTCAGAAATCAACGTCTTTTGAAGATCACATAAAAAACAAAATGACTTAACCAGAGAATCTCTTCAAGGAAACTAGCAAAATTGCAGTTCATCAACTTGAGGTCCTATGAAAAATCAGTCTCTGAAAAATTATCATCCTGCCTTTTTATCCATGGATCTAGTCATACAAAGAAATCATCTGAAATTCTAAGAATCCATTTTCCTCGACAAATGCAGATGGAGAAAAGGCAGTTTTGAGCACAAAGACTTGAAGAGCTTTCCTAATTAAAAAGTCTCTGGGCAATTAAAATCAGTGCTCTGATCAACGTGAGACAGAGCATTTTGTCCACAGCAATGACCTGGCCACAGTATCCAATGGGTTTAGTCGTGTCATATTTCATTTTTCTGCTTCCAATCCTCAGTTTTTAACTCAAGGTTGAAAATGGCGCTCTTAAACACTAAAAAAAAAAAAAATTCCCTACTTTTCCTGAAATCCCGTTAGGCTATTTGTTGAATGAGGATGGCAAAATATCTCCAAGTGAGAACAAATACTATGAGTGCAAACAGGCATGTAGGATTTTTCAAGAACCATGTTATAGGAGGGCAGTAGGACCCAGTCAGGTATTAAGGACCATAAGCTCCTGATAAAGAAAATCTCAATGACCTATAGAAAACACTTCCTCAATGTTCACACATCTATCCTGTCCACACAGGAGCCAAGGGAAAACATGGCACTAAAGATACACTGTTGTTAAGTCATGAGAGAAATGAGCGCACAGAATTTTGAGCATTTGCTCTCTTCTGACAAAACTAAGGGTTGTGGGCCGCTTTTATCTTCAGGCCACAGTCTCTACCTTCTGGCCGTCCTTTATTCTGTAAATGAAGCACTAGTTTTCATTTGCTACTGACTCCTAAAGAAGTAGTTTGCTTTACTGCCTCTAGTTCCAAAAGTTGATTCCATGAGACTCCAGCAAAACTCAACTCAAGAAGGTACTCCGTTCATTTCCTCCTATTATGTCAGCACCACCATAAACAAGTCCATCTGGCCCTCGTCCAACTGAGCTTACCCCTGAAGTGAGGTGGAAATTTCCATACAGTGAGAATGTTCTACTGCAATATTACTTTATATGTTGCATGTAAATTCTACAACAATCTTAGCTGCCCGATAACGTGTAACTGGCAAATTCAATTCATTCCAGGTATTCACCTGCAGACATTTTCCTGGATTACAAACTTTTCTCTGAAGAGGTACAAAATACAAAGAAGATTGGGGGATTAGCTGTCTTACAGAATTCATGACAGGCATAAAACCATCCAAAGAAAGCAGGCTTTAGCCCTTTATAACAACAATGCTGTGCATCTGGTCCCTGACTTGTGCTTTATCTTTTCTATTATGAATTATGTGTTACTCTCATAACTTCTAAGAGGAAAGATTTTACTAGTACCCTCATTAGTACCTACAGTAAAATTTAGAAAATACTCAGTGTGATTCAATAGCAATGCTGAGATGAGAATTTGAGGAAATCATTGCTGTTTTTTGCATTATG